TCTATCTATCTATCTATCGCTGATTAATAGAAAAGATAAATTTAGCCTTGATATTTAAAAATGTTCATGTTAAATTGAAATTACAGCAGAACAAACTGCAGTCGTTCACATTAAACTAAATTGAGTTTAATTAATGTGAATAGTATTATTTATTTTATATTAGAAGTATTAAGGATATAATTCCAGTTTGACCCTGAAGTTGACTTTCTATCATAACAATGTTAACATTTTAATGCTCAATAACTATAAATATTTATCTTAATGATCCTTCAGTGTGAAACTGTTAATAAATAATCAATAGTTTTTATTGTTTTTAACCTGTTTGACAGGTGATTCATAATAATTTCAATTAATGTTTGTGAAAGATCATTTAAGTGACTTTATTAATTTAATTTCTGTGAACACATTTTTAAAAAGTTTGGAAAACTAACTTTATCTGAATTTATCCAAATAACCTTAAAAATAAATATAAGAACCAACTCATCAGGTTTTACAGTGAGATATTGAATTATTAATTAATTATCTGACAGCTTCAGCTTCACTTTATTAAATGTTTACTATAAAGAAAACTAAATAAAATTATAGGTCATGTTTAGATTCCTGCTGTTACTGTTCAGATCTGTTGTCAGCGTTATTTTATCTGATATAATTTATATTTAATTAATAATACAGTGAAACATGTTTGTGCTAATATATACTGGTGACTGATCAGAAATAAGTTGGTTGTTACAGTTGCTCAAATTGCTAAACAACTTTATAGGATATAATAAATGTAAAAATAAATAATCCTAATTAAAAGACCGTAAATGAGTTTATTGCTGTTTCTAACAGCAGTGTAATGGACATGAACAGTGACGGTGTTGGTCCAGCAGGGGGCGCAGCAGTGAAACATCTAACTTTGACAGATTTCTGTTTTTTAAATACAGAAATATTAATACAATTACAAAATATTTAAATTTTAAAATAAAAAGTATTAGTTGTGTAACTTAATGTGATTAGGTAGTTAACTGACAGATATCTTGTATAAATGATGGAAGTTGAATAAATGTTGTTTATCAGTGAAAGCTGGTAAATTCAAATACAGTTTTATCAGGTAAACGCATAATTACTGTCATTTCACACATAATGACTTTATTACAGTTCTATACTTTTAACTTCACATTAAATAATAACAATCCAATAATAACGCACCTTGCTGTAAATGTAAGTCTGATTATTGTGTATAGCAAGTTCACATGTATTTAAGATCATTGTTTTACACTGTAAATATCTTTAATTAACATTAAAGAGATAAAGATTTCATGTCAAATTAAGGTTATATAATAATGTATGTGTATATATTTATATTTTATACATTAATGACAGTTTCGCACTTCCTGTCTGACAGCAAATAAAAGACTGAAAACAACAACTGAAATATG